GCCTGCCTGAGACTGAGCTGTCAGGATGTGATTTACCAGGGACTCCCTGGACAAGAGAGTGAAGGGCACACCCAGAAATGCCGGAAGGAGTGCTCCCACAGGGATGGCGAGTCTGTGCGAGTATCTTCCTTTTTTTTTTTTTTTTTTAATGTTTGTTTATTTTTGAGAGAGAGAGTGCAAACGCAAGCAGGGGAGGGGCAGACAGAGAGGGAGACCCAGAATCCGAAGCAGGCTCCAGGCTGTGAGCTGTCAGCACAGAGCCCGACTTGGGGCGGGACCCTGTCCATGTGTGACATAGTTAGACACTCAACCGGCTGAGCCACCCAGGAGCCCCAGTGTGCTGGTGTCGTCTAAAGGGCATCAGTTCATCTTTGTGTCTACAGAACCCAGCAAAGATTTTTTGTTGTTTAATGAATGAAGTGTGTATAAATTTAGCTGTCCTCAAAGTTCCGAAACTGTACTCACTGATAGTTGATTTTTATTAATGCAAAAGTATGTTTCGCAGGGGTTCAATTCTTGCAGTTTTGAAAGCAAGTTAAATTAGCTACTACGAATAGCCTTGCCAAAAAGTAGTCATCTCCAAGGGTCCTGCCGTAATCTATGTGTTCACAGGATCATATGGAGAATAATGACAAGAATAAAAATGAAAAGCCGCACGAGTCTCTTCTCCCTCTAGCGTAGCACAGGTACTATACGCTCTCCATTATTTCTTGCTCAGGGCTTCATACTGCCCCCACCAGAGCCTGGCCTCATGCTCTCCAGCACACATGAAGCCCACCTACGGTCCCACAGACTCCCACACACACACACACACTACAGGTGCATCGGGGCTGTGGCCTGTCGCTCCCACGGCAGGCAGGTGTGGGAGAGGCTGGGAGGTCTGTTCCTGGTTCCTTCACCTGCTCTTTCCTCCAAACTGACTTTTCTTTGACATTGTAATTAGGCTTGATGACCTATTTCTGCTCAATTTCAAGTACATTAGTGTTTAAGTGACATTTTGCGAGCGGGGGATGGGTACACAGTCATCTGGGATGTTCTAAATTCTAATCCAGTGACACAGAAATAGACTTTTGGAATATAACTTATTAGTTCATTGGGGTGTGGCTGATGCAGAATATTGAGGTAGATGTTCCCATAAATAAATGCCCCAGCTGACCCAGTGAAGGAATCTAGCCAGTGGACAAAGCTACTATCTCAATATTTTTTTTTAATGTTTATTTTTGAGAGACAGTGCAAGTGGGGGAAGGATAGAGATGGGGGACAGAGGATTTGAAGCAGGCTCTGTGCTGACAGCAATGAGCCTGATGTGGCGCTCGAACTCACGAACTGTGGGATCATGACCTGAGCCAAAGTTGGACGCTCAACCAACTGAACCACCCAGGTGGCCCATTTCAATATTCTTTTTTAAAATAACTTAAAGGGGCGCCTGGGTGGCGCAGTCGGTTAAGCGTCCGACTTCAGCCAGGTCACGATCTCGCGGTCCGTGAGTTTGAGCCCCGCGTCAGGCTCTGGGCTGATGGCTCAGAGCCTGGAGCCTGTTTCCGATTCTGTGTCTCCCTCTCTCTCTGCCCCTCCCCCGTTCATGCTCTGTCTCTCTCTGTCCCAAAAATAAATAAACATTGAAAAAAAAAATTAAAAAAAAAAATAAAATAAAATAACTTAAAAAGTTTTTTTTTTAAGTATTTATTTATTTTTGAGAGAGAGACAGACAGAGGGTGAGTAGGGAGGGGCAGAGAGAGAGAGAGAGGGAGGGAGGGACACAGAATCCAAAGCAGGCTCCAGGCTCTAAGCTGTCTGCCTAGAGCCTGATGTGGGACTCAAATTCAGGAACCATGAAATCATGACCTGAGCTGAAGTTGGACGCCTAACCTACTGAGCCACCCAGGCCCCCCCGCCCCCGCCACCATCTCAGTATTCTTAAATAAAGGATACACTTGTAAAGGCACAGATGTTAGGGTGCCAGCTTTGAGCTTGAGGAGTTGCAAAGTTTCTTTTGAGATAAGAGAAGATCTCACTGTATCTCTGCCCACACATCTTGTATAATCCCTGATTTGCATTCAGTAGGTCATTATCAAGCACCTACTGTGTGCCCTTGGGGGAATAGAGCAGTGAACAAAATAGATGAAGTTCCCATTCCACAGATGGAATCTGCACCTGATTCTTCAGGGTAGGTGTGCGGTCTCCGCATTGTCTCAGCGCCCGTCTCCCCAGGAGCACGCCATCTAGAGGCCGGCCTTCCCACCCGCCCCTGCCCACACGGGCCATTTGCAAGCCTGTTGTTACTGAGCATGAACTTGGCCTTCTTCTGGCTAAACGAGACCTGAGTTTGCACTGACCGGCCTTCCCTTTGTCCTTCAAGCTGCAGCAGTTTTTCGGCAACATGTTGGAAGAGCACCAGAAGCTCACAGTTCGTGCCAAGTTACAGACAATAAAGAACAAAAATCTGGAAAACAAAAAGCGCAATGCCAGGATGACAGCGTGGCTATGGAAAAACACGTAACTGAGCGGCGGCCACTTCCGGCACCCCTCAGGCCCGTCATAATGTACTTTGTGCAGAGTTCTGTCCTCCAATACTTTGTGAGTCTGGAAAACCTCATGTTCTGTCATTCGTGTGTCCGTCACATTTGCTCCTGGGAGTCCTTCCCGTCCTTCCCATATTGTCACGTTCGGCCCTCAGGCTCAGTGATGGCTGAGGGTTTTGCCAGTGCTGCTCCGTTCCGGGGGGGAGATTTCATGTTGGGCTACAAAACCACAGAATTTACTTTAACTGCCTTGTGAAAACAAATTCACCTTAGAAGAGTCTTGCTTGTTCTGTTGTGAAAGTCAGTGGGATGTTAAATCCTTGGCCAAAAGCGCACATTCTTTTCTGAGGGAAATACGGATTTGCAATACTCTGGGGTTTATTTAGTGCAGTATTTAAAAGTGTAATGAGCAAATAACACAGCAGTGTAAAGGAACAGAAACCAGAAAAACTAATAGTCCCTAGCACGCAGAAAAGCCAAGGAAAGCAAATTTTAAAAAGAAGACATAGGTCATTTTATGAGCCGTGTTAAGTGCCCTCAAGGCAAGCGATGTGTCTGCCTGTTTCTCTCTCCCCACAGTGCCCGTTGCCTGTGTCACACTTTATAGGCTACCGAGCCTTTATTGTGTCACGAAAAGAGCCAGGATCGAAGGATCCACAAAGTGCCCTTGGGATTGCTGTCGTGGAGGCCGGAATGAGAGGAAGGCTTTGCTCTGAAGCTGGAGACTGCGTACCCACCTGTGGGCCAGACGCTCATTTGGCCAAAGTCTCTGTGCAAAAATAATGCTGTCAACAGACAGTAGCAATTAGGGGCAGATCTTCAGCCCCAGGGAAGTGGTCAAATACAGAGAAATAGAGCTAAAAGGCCAACATGCTAACCAGAGCATAATCTCTACAGCCAAGCCCTCAGGGGACTAAGTTTGAAACGCAGTTTCATCTGGCCAAATCGAACCTGCTTGTAGTTTGGAGAACTTTAAAGGCGTTCATCAGTTACGATGTATGGAATTAGCTTAGTTTCGTTACACAGGATTAAATCGGGACCGCTAAAGCAAGGCATCCTGCTCTAGGCTTTGTGTGATTTAATTCTGTGTTTTCACGCTGATTTTGTTTTTGTTGAATGGGGGTAAAACCACAGATCTCTGATCTACCTCAGAGTGATGTAAACATTAAGAAATATGCCAGTTAAATGCCTTAAAGATGTTGTATAAACTCAAGGCAACGTGATCTCAAGTTTTTCCCTCTTGCTGGAGTAAGTCAATGTAGTCACAAGTGAAGAAGCAGAACTAAAGTTTCGTTTTGTATTTGTCTCACACAAAGAGGCTCCTGAGTGAGTGGATGTGGCCATGAAAACCAACCAAAGCACCACCCACCCCCCAGACTTGACCATGGGTCATAGGTCAGAGTCGTCTTCTCCAAATTTACAAATTTAAAACGGGGGCGCCTGGGTGGCTTAGTCGGTTAAGTGTCCGACTTTGCCTTGGGTCGTGATCTCACAATTCCAGAGTTCGAGCCCCGCGTCGGCCTCTGTGCTGACAGCTCAGAGCCTGGAGCCTGCTTCAGATCCGGTGTCTCCCCCTCTCTCTGCCCCTTCTCCACTCATGCTCTGTCTCTCTCTCTCAAAAATAAACATGAAAAAAAATTAAAAGAAAAAGAAATTTTAAATGTAAGCAATAGAATATCACCATGCATCCAAGTCATTATGTGTGAGATATCTCCCGGTATTTTCTAGACCATCCGTTCTCTATTTCCTATATTTCCTCTGATGACAGTCCCCATTTCCAATAACCATGTCACCTGTGTCTTTTCTTCCATGTTCCTCTTCCTCCTCTTCCTCTCCCTCCTTATCCCTCTTGGGCTCCCTTCTCCCTTTCCAGCAACCTCTGCCTGCCTTCTGCCTGGCTGTCTGCCCCTCCTGCGACCTTGGTCTTGCTACCCCACTGTGCTCTCCATCCAAGTGTGCTGGGAGGCTCTGACACTGGTCACCAGGTGCGGGTGACACCGCCGAGGACTGCCTGATCCCACCAGAGGAGTGCCCAAGTGCCACTCTCCAACTATCTGTTGAAAATCAAAATCCAGTTACATCTTAGCTTCTGTAGTAAATAAAAAGCACTTAAAGAGCTTATGGGACACCTGGGTGGCTCAGTCGGTTAAGTGTCCGACTTCGGCTTAGGTCATGATCTCACTCACGGTTTGTGGGTTTGAGCCCCGCATCAGGGTCTGTGCTGACAGCTCAGAGCTTGGAGCCTGCTTCAGATTCTGTGTCTCCCTCTGTCTCTGCCCCTCCCCTGCTCACACTCTGTTTCTCTCAAAAATAAATAAACACTAATTTTTTTTTTTTAAAGAGCTTATCAAATGCCCACCTGATTGGTTAATAGTCCTTCCTCTGAATATGAAAAAGAATTCTGAGTAATATACATTTGTCTTACCTGGATGAAGACAGTTATTCCAGATAGGCATTGCATTTTATCATATTGTACTTACCCTTGGTATAAAGTGAAGTAATTATTGAGTCACTACTGAGATAGCAAGAAGTCAGGGAGGGATACTGATGTAGATTTGTGTAAAGGGCATAAATACTCCATTCACCAATAACCCAGCTTACCTATTAGTGCCCCACCTATAAAACCACTTCTCCAAGCCATCCAGTTTACCCAGTTTGCTCTGTACTGTTCACCTTATAAAAAAAAAAAAAAGTTTGTAAGATGTACAATGTGATCGTGGCTGTTTTCCATTTGGTAACTAGAAATGAAAAGTTTTCGTTACAACCTTCTGCTTCTTTCCTGATCAACCCACTCAGTGACTTCCCATCGCTGACTTTAAAGGAAAGAACAGATGCCTTGGTCTTGAGGACTGGAGATCGTCTGTAATTTAGAGCTCTGGGGTCAAGCTGCACTGCAGTTTATTCTGAGGAATGAATGAAGGAGAGAAACGAGCTTTATTTTGTTTTTAATTTTTTTAGTGTTTATTTATTTTTGAGAGAGAGAGAGCGTGAGCAGGGGAGGAGCAGAGAGAGGCAGACACAGAATCTGAAGCAGGCTCCTGGCTCCGAGCTGTCAGCACAGAGCCGGATGCGTGGCTCGAATTCACAAACTGCAAGATCATGACCTGAGCCAAAGTCAGAGGCTTAACCAACTGAGCCACCCAGGCTCCCTGAGATGAGCTTTAAAAGGGAAGCCTGCTCAATTGCTTTTTCTGTTTGCTTCAACAAATGCTGTCTTTTTTCCATCCAAACTCTAGCAGGATTAACATGGCCAGAGCAAAGCCTTAATGGGGTTCACAGTAAATAGAACTGCCTCCCTCACGCGGAGGAGCAGGAATCAGCATTCGAGACCATGTAAATATTGCTTTTGGCCCGCTCTTCTCTGGAATCCAACAACATTCAGCAAAGATATTCCTTACAACACACATATCTAAGAGTCATGTGGACTTTTCCTCTTCTCCTCCTTCATAAACAGGTTGGTCCTTAAGGTGAGGCAGAGCTAGGCAGGCCTCTTTATGAGGGGGAGTCAGGGGTGGGGCCGGGGAGACCCATGACCTGGACTGGGTGGGGGAGTTTGGGTGGGCGATGGGGGAGTCTGTACAGTGGGGAGCAGCTTGGTACAGGATGGCAGAGCCCAGGAAGGTGAGTAGGACATGCACACGGGGCAGGGAGGGGCTTACAACATGGAGAGTCAGAGCCAAACAGGGTAAGGTGGACATCTAGCAGGGGTCCACCTAGCATGGGCAGTCGGAGCCCAAACAGGGTGAGAATGGGGAGTCCAAGCCCTAGTGGGGTAAAGGGGACTTTCAGAGCCAGGGCAGTGACCCAGCATGAGGTAAGGGAGCCTGAGGATGGTGAGGAGGGCATCACGTGGGGTGGGGGGAGGACAGTGATGGGAGCTTGGTGACCACAGATGAGTGAATCATATCCAAAGATACATGTTTCTCACTATTGGAGAAGAGCATAGCAAACATTCAAAAAGGGAAACCTAGAAGGGACCTTTTGTCGTTGGATTGGAGTCGGAGGTATGGATGTGAACAGTCCTCACAGTTTTCAGTATATGGATAGAGTCCTGCATAGACATGTAAATGTGTGTAGACGCATCTTGCCCCTTCTGTAGACGAACAGATGTGTAGGTACAGATACGTATACAGATACGGATATAGATATACATGTCAACATCAATCCTACCTTCTCAGCAGAGAGGGCCTGGGAGCAGCCACACCCTACCAACAACGAACACAGCTAGTGCCCAGATCTTGGCTTCTAAACACCATGGTCTACTATGCAAACCAGGGCTCCACAGAGAAATGGCTGATTTCAGGGCTTTCATGGGAAAGGGACAATTCGAGACGGAATGTCTTTTTGTACCGAGAGACAAGGAAGTGTTCAAAGAATGATGGGAACATTGATACTTAAGCCGGCTTGAAGCACCCCCCTTTTAGTCCAATCTGGGAAAATTTGAGCATCATAATAAAGACAGCAAGTTATCAAATAGGGACTCATGAATCTATAGTTTTCTGTCTAATGAACAATTGAAATGTTGATGAGGAAAAGGATATATACACAATTTCAAGGCAACTTACCATAAAACACGAATAAATTACAAAGGGAAAGTGAGTAATTTACAATTAATCACCTGGCAGACATCCCCTCACTCCACCCGTGAGTGTGAACATCATCCCAGTGGAATTAATTTAAAAAAAAAATTGCTCCGTTTAAAAAGGCGAGATGACACTTTTGTTATATCGTTGACAAACCTCCATGACATGAATCTAACCATGAGGAAACATCGGACAAACCCAAATTAAGGTACATGCCAGAAAGCAGTCTTCAAAAGCCTCAAGGTCACAGAAGTAAAAGAAAGATAGAGGATAGAGGACCATCTTAGACTGAAGGGAATTAAAGATACATGACAACAAAGTGTAATGTGATTCTGAACTGGATCCTTTTGCTATGAAGAACATTACTAGGACAACTGGAAATATTTGGAGTCTGA